ACCAGCTTGCTCAGCTGGTGCCTGGAGCCGGCCCTGCGCAGGTGCTGATAATGGGGGCATGGTACCAGAGGCCAGAGAAACAGGCCTTCTGCCCCTCAATGAGATGGTGGTTGCAGAGGGCACAAGCTGGCTCCCAAAGCTTCCAGTCCTGGGGCCAACTCAGGCAGTTTGACCCTTCTGCTGCTGCCCCTCATGCTCAAGCGCTTTGCACAGGGAGTGGGTGAGGCACTTGTTTGGCAAGGGGGTTTTCAGACCGTGTGGAAAGGGTTAAGGAAGGAGCAGCAGAGTAATTGTGAGTTAATATGGTCCTGTGTTTTTTATTACACTCAGCGCATTAAATTGATAGTCTGGTACCAAAGGCCAGAAGTGTCACCTCTCAACAAGATGAAATCTATGTAGCCCGTGGACAGGGGAAGGCTGGAAGATTTATAAAGACCTCCATAAAATTAACATTTGGATGGGAACGAGAGGGAAAAGAAACCATGAATTGCAACAGCAGCAGCCTGGTTAGCGAGTCTCTTTGCATTTTCACGGCTTCCATCCAGCCGGACAGATACTGCTGATGGTCAGAAAAGCTGCCCCAGCCTGTCCTGCCTGCTGGATGGATCTGGAGTGTCTTCATCAGTGGAAAAGGCAAAATCTGGGCACCTGTAAGAAGGTGCCCTGTGGCGGGACTGGGGGAGCCCAGGGCAGGTTTAGCAGGGAGCTGTGGGTCAGGATTGAGGGCAAAGGCTGTGGGAGCAGTGATATGGTTGTACTATTTACACACCCAAACCCATGTGATGGCACTGGCTGGGCACAGCCGGGGCCCATCTAACCATGTAATAAATACACACAAACATGCCAGGCTTAACCCTCCTCCCTGTCTCCTTAGAGAGGGGACCATAGCTCGGCCCAGCTGCACAGGGCTGAGTGAGCAGCAGCACCTGTGATGGACAGATAGCACGTCATGGTGCACACACACACACACACACACACTGTACCCCACATGCCTGCATCATGACACTCTCCCGTGCACACGCATACATGGCAGCTTCACACTTACACTCAGCCACGCATCACATTCATCATGTTTGTGCTCACACACCTGGCCCGCCCGGTGGAAATGGAGTCATTACCGGCAGTGCCGGCAGTCTGAGTGCTTTGCAATTAAAGTGAGAAAAGGTTTATACAGGAATAAATCTGTGTTAATGAGGTAAATCCTAGTCCTGCCCTGACAGGCTCTCAATCAAAGCTGGGAATTTGGCAGAAGGGGGAGAGAACAAGGATGGGGCCGTGTGCTGCTCCCGGCCAGAAGCCAGGACTGCGGGGGCAGACGTTCCTAGGATCAGTAGCTGCTCATGCCTGGGTCCCTCCAGGTGACGCCTTCCTGCCTGCGGTCAGCAGGAGGCACTGAGACCTCCTCAGGCCCAGGCAGGTTCTGAGATCCGGGGTCTGAGGGCTGCACTCAGACAAAAGGCTGTGACTGTGCAGGTAGCCAAACTGAGAAACAGCTGAGCCAATCAGTTCCGGTTGGGGAGTGGGGAGAAGATTGGGACGCCTCCTGCCTCCAGGCCTCTCACCCCGACTCCCCTGGGGATCCCTGCACTGGATGGGCTGGGAGACAGAGGATCCCCATGTGGGCCAGGATGGTTCGGATTCCCCACATTGGATGCCTCTCTCCCTTGTCTGGTTCCCAGGACTATCGCTCTAACCCTGCCACCTGCCTAAACGAGGATCCACTTAGCCTGAAATCCTGCTACAGCCCCTGAGCAGCGGCTCCCATTGCGTAAAGCCGTGCAGCTGCAAAGTAAACGGTGCACTGGGATTCCAGCAGGGTCTGGCAGGCAAGGCCGGGGCAGTGCGCAGAGAATGTAGCTGTCTAGGAAACAAGGGAGGCAAAGTCGCTCGCTCTCCGCATCTCACTCCAGTCCCCAGCGCACTCCTCCTCATCGCAGCCTGTCAGCGGCACTGCTGAATGAACCAGCCTATGCACTGAGCCCTGATAGGCGTGAAGGGGGCTGGGGCTGGAATCAGACGCCTAGGTCCCTGCGATGGTATCCCGGGGGGGGGAGGAGCTGGCTGTCCATCTTACACTGCCCTGAGGCAAGCAAGGGGCAGGTGCTCAGAACGGTCACCCAAGCACCCCCTGTCCTCCAGGGGACCCCTTGCCCTGAGTTCCTCCTTCCCCCAGGGCACCCCCTTAGCAGCCCAAGCAGGGCATTTCTGCTGCTTTCCTAGGACTAGGACAGGAGCGGTGAGAGCAGCAGGAAACTCCCAGGGACAGGAGCAGGGGCAGAACTTCAGGAGGTCCCAGGGGTGGCCGGGTGGGGGAATGGGACTGAAGAAGTTAGCTCTCCCTGCATGGGTCTGGCTTGCCCGTAGCTCTGCGTGAGCTGCCTGACAAAGCCAGCTCGTGCCAAACCCCTACACTAGTGGCCCCTGACTCCCCACCGCCCGCCTGAGTGGCTCCGCCTGCTCCCCGGTCTCTTGCACTCACAGACACTGTTGCTCACGCCTGCTGTAAATTACCTGCTTTGCATTTTGCAGCAACAACTTAACAGTATTAATTTATAGTGTTCTGTCTTTAACAAACATCATTATCATATCGCCAGCCAGGATTATGCAAATCCTGGAACAGGAAATATTTCTCTCCCCAAAGTCACCTTGATTTATCAGTTTTAGCCCAAAATGATACAGACAAGAAAGTCAGTTTGGAGAACGTGATAGATATGTGACCCCTCCAGTGCCCCCTACTGGGCAGGCCCAGCTCACAGGACTCACTGCATGTCCGGGCCAGGGCAGCCCTTGCAAGCTGCGCCTGCATCTGGTGACTAGACTGTGACGAAGTGGGACTGTTCTGAATGTTTTCCTCAGTTTCCCCTATGCAGTTTTTAAGTATCTAGGTGGTGGGATAAGGGTGTATGGTTGCTGCAGAGCAAAAGGCCAGTGTACATAAATGCCCGACACTCTGTCTCCTAGCAACTGATGGCCTGGGCCCCTCCTCTGCAAAGGTGCCAACTGAAGGTGTTGGAGACAAAGGGATCAGGTGACCTCCTGGTCTGGGAAAGAGACAAAGCCCAGAGAAGGAGGGACTGGACGGGGCTTGGAGTTGGAGCTACCTGGGGACTAGGAGTGAGGGCAGACGCGGGTGTCTGGCTCTCTGAACCCCATAATGGACCCGGCCGAGGGGTCCCGTTCGCCGCTGTACCTACAAACTCTGTTTTAGACCGTGTTCCTGTCATCTAATAAACCTGTTTTACTGGCTGGCTAAGAGTCACGTCTGACTGCGAAGGGGGGGGTGCAGAACCCTTTGGCTTCCCCCGGACTCCGCCTGGGCAGACTCGCTGTGGGAAGCGCACGGAGGGGCATACGCTGAATGCTCCCAGGAGAGACCCAGGAGGTGAAGCCGTGTGAGCTTCTTGCCCTGAAGACAGTCTGCTCCAAGGGAGAGGAGGCTCCCCAAAGTCCTGACTGGCTTTGTGGGGAGCAGTTCCAGAGCATCGCCCGGGGACTCCGTGACACAGACACTCCACACAGGGCCTGTGCCATGCAGCCTGCCATGAAACCAGGCACCGGCTGGGGAGTGAGCCAGGCTTGGGGCATGGGACACAGGCCGGGCAGGCAGAAAGAGATTCCTGGAGTGAACGCCAGTGAAACACACCCCTTCCCAGTGCAAAACGGACCTATGGATAGCTCCCTGGCATAGCTCTCGCAGGCAAGGGGCAGATGAGGGGGATAGGGGGGTGGGTGAGGGCCAGGGCCGGCACTTCCATTTAGGCGACCTAGGCGGTTGCC